TATGAATAGTTATCAGAGAGCCCTTAAGTGCAGTCAGGCAGTAGGGGATAAGAGTATCGAATCAAATGCCTACCATGGTCTAGGCGATCTATGCGTTTGTCTGGGAGACCCTCAACAAGGAGAGAGATATCTAAAGAAAGCTCTTGCCTTAGCAAAAGAAACTGGAGATAAAAGCAATGAGGCGACGATCCATGCAGACCTCGGGTTCTGCTACATGTGTTGTGGCCGACGAAATGAATCTCTTGAAAACTTGAATTTAGGAATTTCTCTCATGCAAGAACTTGGAGATAAGCGTGGTGAAGCGACAGCTTTGATTAACCTTGGATCCCTGCACCAGACCTTTGGAAATCTGAAGAAAGCAAGACAAACTCTCCAAAAAGCACTCAAGATAACAAGAAAAATTGGAGATAAAGGAAAAGAACAAGAGGCTCTTACCTTTCTAGGGATATGTAATAGGATGGATGGAGAGCTAAAGATGGCGCATGAGTGCTTTTCACAGAGCATTACTTGGCCAGAAAGGAACCGCCAACTACTTCAAGACGAACATAAACTTTCTCTGGATAACGTAACGTTTGCTAGCTATTACGAATTATGTTCGCTTCGTATCAGTCAAGGACATTTTGCTGAGGCGTTGTGTACCATAGAGCGAGGACGTTCTCGAGCTCTTAGCGACTTACTGTCCCAGAAATATGGTATCCGACGACACAATTCAAGCGAACTTTATTTGAATAGTGTCAAGGATCTTTGTATCAAGAACCAAAGTACGATCCTCTACATGGCTACGCATAGCCTTAAAAAATATTTCTGGGTTTTGGAGGGTGGAGAAATTCAATTTAAGCTTGTGGAATTCAAAGTGGCAAAGGACGTCATCGAGTTGCTCAAGAGTTTGCTAAGAGGACAATCTGTGTCTGAATGTGAAGATCGCTCATTGTCAGCATACTATGGATTAAAACCATCGTTGGAAGAAATAAAAGACAAACGCGGGCAGCGTCTTTTTGAAGAAGAAGAAGAACAAGAAGGAAAAAAGGAGGATTCTCGCCTTTACCAGTGGTATAATGATATTTTCGCCCCCATTGCTGATCTTGTTCAACGTCAAGAAATCATCATTATCCCGGAAAGTGAACACTTTTTGGTGCCATTTTGCGCGTTATGTGATAACAACGACAAATTCCTGTCAGAGACCTTCCGAATCCGCCTGATTCCATCACTGACAGCATTAAGGATGATCCAGGACAGTCCTGTAGACTATCACTGTGCAACCGGGGCGTTGATCGTGGGTGATCCCTCTGTTCCTCCTCAAACAGAGTTGCCATCATTGCCAGGTGCAAGAAGAGAAGCAATGGAAATTGCAGAGTTGTTGGGTGTGTCGGCTACTTTAGGAGTTGAAGCCACCAAAAAACAAGTCCTCCGACGGATTCGGGATGTCAGTTTGATCCACATTGCTGCCCACGGTGATGCAAAAAGAGGAGAAATCTTTCTTGCCTCAAACTGTCCCTCCAGACCAACTAAAAGGAAGGATGACTTCATGCTTACCATGGAAGATGTCGCAAAAGTTGGTACGCGAGCCAAGCTGGTCGTTCTCAGCTGTTGTCACAGTGGCCAGGGACATATTATGAAATCAGAGGGAGTTGTGGGTATCTCTCGCGCCTTTTTGGCAGCGGGAGCTCGCTCAGTGCTAGTTTCCCTGTGGGCCGTGGATGATCGAGCCACGAAAGAGTTCATGATTCGTTTCTATGGACATGTGAAGTGCGATAAACTGAGTGCCGGTGAAGCTCTTCACCAAACCATAAAGTGGATGAGAGAATCCAAGAGGTACAGAGTGAAGGACTGGGCAGCATTTGTTTTAATCGGGGATGACGTCACTTTGGACTTCTAAAAAGGTGTTACACCTTTAAACTGCGCTACAAAAACAACTTTATCGGGTCCAAAATTTTAACTTCCTTACCTATGATGCACACAAGTCTTATTATTTTATCATTTTGAAAGTAGCAGTTGTTGATGCTCAGATAGAGCGCGTAGCAAACATGGAGAAATCATGAACTGATCAAAACGAAGATGAAACTTTTCATATATGCTGTTGTTAATTATGGTGCTGTTTATTTTTTCGCAAAGTTCGACCAAAATTGAGATTAAAAAAATAGCGATAGTTCTGAAATTATTGTAAGATTGTTGTAATTACAGCGAACCGCGAAATCGCACAAAATATGTAGCACAAATAGCACTATTGCACTGCTATGAAAGTTAAGTTCGTCGATTTACAATGTACAATGGCGAGAAGTCCGCCCAAGCAAACTCTACATAAAGACTGTTTTTAGTCAAAATAATGTTTAGAATTTTCAAAGATCAATTTTTTTAGGTTTTTTTTTTCAACATGATGTATAGTAACTATATATCGATTTCTTTTTGCATTTAAAGTTAAATAAAATTTTAAAAAAGTGAGTACATGTAAACCATAAAGAGGAGAATGTACAAATCCTGCTTAAAAAAAATAACGTTTTGT